GCACTAAAACAAAGTGATGAATAAAGTGGAGCAGGGTAACTCTACTTGTTTTGTTTTTTCAAAGAGTTTCCCCATTTTTTCGTCATGAGAGGTCATTACATCGGCAGCGTGTGAGAATAACTGCCTCTCCAACAGAGTGCATCATTGAAGTTTTGGGCGTTTGACAATCTAATACTTAAGAAGTGGTATATTGATTTTTTTTTGGTAAGCTATTCTGAAAAATGTTTTAAGTATAAAATTTCATTAATATGAAACAGTATTTCCTCCAAGTAATTTAAATATCTCTTATGAGTAAGGTTGAGTATCTTTTCACATGTTTAAAGACCATTGGCTTTTCTTTATCTGTGAACTGACTGCTCATATCTGTTCCCATTTTTCTAGAAATTGTTCCTCTCTTTCCTCTCAATTTTTAGGAGCTCTTTAAATTTTAGAGTATTAACTCCTCGAGAATTCATGGCAACATTGTGTTTAGTTTGTCAGCTGTCTAAATTACTTTGGAATACTTTGTCAGGGTTCCAGAGTTAATGGGACTTAAACGAAGCCACTCACTAACCGACCAGAATGTCGATTTATTAATTTACAACATGTAATATTCCCTTCCACTACCATTAATACCCCATTTCTGCTGTTCTAGGTACCTTCTTCCTGGTATCAGAATTCCTGAGAAACCAATGATGGGTGAAGAGGTTATTAAGTGACAGTATCAAAAGCTACTTCAACTGTATAGACCTCTATGTGCCTGCCTTCCCTTTTCTAAGGATGAATCGTCCATGCTCTTACTGAAGGTCGACTCCACCATCCATATTTTAGTTCCTACCCTCCCCTAGCTTGCTCAAGGATATGGTTCTAACAATTCTTCTTTCTCTTGAATAATGAGTTTTCCCTTCACTATTGGATCCCTCCCTATCAGCATTCAAACAAATAGTAATAGCTCCCATCTTTAAAACAAAAATTCTAGACCCCACGATGTTTTGGACTCCACACATCTCCATCCAACTACCACTCCACTTCTCTGCTCTCTTGTACAGTTTAAAAAATAAAAAGAGTTGTCTATTCCTATTGTGTCGACTTCCTCTCTTCCCATCTCCTGTTGTACCCACTCTAGTTAGGCTTTTTGTCCCTACCGTCACATCATTCATCAGGTTCGCCAATGACATCCATGTTCCTAAATCCAGTGGCCATTCTCAGTCCTCACTTTATCCATCCTCTCAGTAGCATATGACACAATTGTTCACTCCCTCCTTCTTGAAAGTCTTTCTTCATTTGGTTTTTGACATGATATTCTCTCTTGCTTCTCTCCCTACCCCGCTGGCCTCCTTTTTAAAAAAAATCCCCAATGTCTCTTTTTCCTAATCATTGTAGTTGTACTTAGAGTCTAAATTGGTGAGGAAAAGGTATTTAGAAGTACACTAGGACACTTGCATTTTAAGTAAGAGAGCTTGAGGTTGGGGAGTGACAGCCTGCTTTATCTTCCACAGAAGAGGAGATTAAGGTACAGTTCTTCCAAATTGAAAGTTTTTGGTAAATCACATTTTTTTACTCCTGAGGACCTTATTTATAGAGCAATTGCTATTGGCTTCTTTTTCTTCCTTTCAATTAAAAAAAATTGTTCTGCTTTATCTTCTGTTATTCTTATTTTTCTATACCTCTATCAAATTCCTTTATTCTACCTCATCTTCTTTTCCCTTCCTAATGCCAGATCTCTATATTTTCCAAGTCTCCAACCTAGCTTAAGCGTCTTAGCAATTGAAAGTACTAAATATCCTTTTCTTTGGGCCATTTAGAGACACCCTATGAAGGACACCCCTGGAAAATATTCGATGGTGCTGCTAACAGCAGAGCTGCACGATGACTAATGTCAGTCTGTTGGAAGTAGAAGGTTCTCAGTGTTATTTTTCTCATTAATATTTGGTTGTTGAATATAGGTAATTTACCTTATAATTCTGGAAACTCAGATTAAATGAGTGCAATTAACGCCAGGTAAATTTAATATCAACTTCTGAGGTAAGAGGAGAGAAGGGAACAAATGAAAATTGGGAATTTATTCTTAAATGTAGCGCTCTAGGGAGTCTGTCTGCATAGTGGCTAAGAACATAGACCCGAGAGCCTGACTTGTCTGGGTTTGTATTCAACTTCATCCCTTATGGACAATGTGACTTTGGGCATGTTTCTTATCTTTTCTTTGCCTCAGTTTCCTCATCTGTAAAGTGGAGGACAGTCTGACCTCATGGAGTTGTTACAAGGATTAAATTAGTTTCGAAAAAGTACTTCAAACAGTGCCTGGCAATAGTAAATACCACATAAATATCAGTTACTATTACTCAAAATTATAATGATGAATAGATCAAGGCCCAGAAACATTTTTAGTTTTTAGAAGTATGAGGTTTTTGTAATGTTTATGATTTTTAAAAAGATCACAAATGTGGCTTGGATTACTCCAAGAAAAAAAGTTTGGCTTAATAACTGATAAATGAGCTTTTAAGAAAGAAACCATTTTGTATGACCCAATACAGAGAGTAAAGTTCACCAACAGGAGATGTCTGACTGGCATAAAAACCATTAAAGACAATTCTGAGAGTGATATTAAACTCAACTCGGAAACACATGCTTTACATTACTGTCCTATCAGTTCTTGAGTTCCTGGCGTATGTTGCTGAAGCAGACAGACTTTTTTTTTCAAGTAGTCATTCTCTGTTATTGCTTTTGACTTAGATAAACGACCTTCTAACTAAGTGTTGGGAAACTTTTTGTAGGCTTTACTTGTGATTGTTATTTAAAGTGATAGCTGTGAAAGACTGTCAAAATATCTCTAACATTGTGCTTTTCAAAACGAAGGGAAAATTTCTTTGAAAATAATAATGAAAGGACAATAGAATCCCTGACATAAGACAGAATAAGGTCTGTGAGTTCATGGATGGCATTCATCTGCCAAGACAGGGAAGTCTGTTTCAGGAGCTAACCGGTTTTGCTTGCTTCACACTGCTGAGTACACTTGAGTTGCTACAATGGGGGCAAAGTGCACTGGGCAGTGCCCTAGCAAATTACTTTTGCAGCCAGGAAAGACTATGGTAATTCTGTCTCAACAGTGAAGGCCAATTCATAGCCATCTAATAGTCTGGCTTTTCATTAAAGATGTGACTAACTTAAATGGCCTGAATGTTTATTATATATTTAAAACATGTACCACTTTTAATAATATTTCTGAATAAATATTTTACAACAACTAATTTTATTTTATTGCCTATATATGAGTTATGGCAGCTTATGGCCAATTTGGAGATTAATAAAAAATACAAAAATAAAGTGCAAATCTGAATTTTGAACTGAAAGCAAGTTTAAGAAGATTGTTGCATTAATTGCAAGAGTTGGAACGTCAGAATTTGAGAGGCAGCATGATCTGGTGGAGCAAATACAGGTTTAGGAGTCAGACTGATGGCTTTGAATCCCACCTCATTTGTTTCCTAGTCATCGGAAGCTACACAAATTATGTAATCTATCCAAGCCTACTTCCTTGTCTATAAAATAGGGACGATATTCACTCTGAAAACTTTAGAGAATTCAATTAGATAAATATGTGAAAAACTGCCCACCTCACAAACAGGCAGAAAAACGTTTTCTCTCGAATACTCTATTCAGCTCTCCACTCCTTCCCAATGGAAAAAACTAGAATGCTAACACTATAATGGTTAAGATTTTCAGTAAAAGATAATTCCACGTGTAAAATAATTACCAAGAAAGTATTTTACAAGCAGTAATGGGTTTAAAAATCACATTGGTTATTAATTCTATAATAACTAAACCTCAGTGTACAAAACTTGGAGGTTTTCGTAGGTATTGTAATGAAAACACCATTTGTATAAACATCAAAGAGACCCAGGACCCTGAAAAAATTCTCATTCTAAGAAAAATTCTCCATAAAGGATATTTGTACTCAGGTTACTAAAAAGTTACGTGGAGGAACCCATTACATTTTAAGGGGACATTTTGCATCCGGTTTCCCGGGCCTTGAACCATAGGTAACTCTTCAGGGTGGAAACTTTATTTGGGAATAGAGGTTTGAACCAGGTTAATTCTACAGGTCGTCCCAGACCATCTCCAAGCGCCAAGTGGTATCTGAAGATGAAAAATGGGTCAGGGACAGATAATCTAAGTAAGCACAGAGAGCACAGGTGCCGGCCATGGGAAGCCCCTAAAGTGGAAGCAGGAAGAAACAGGCGGTAGGAACTGAGGACTTTCCTCCGTTGTCCCCGCAGCCGTCCCGCTGCCTCCTGGGTCCCCATCACACTCATCAGAACCTCAGTCCACCAAGAGGGTGAGCTTGGAAGAGGCCGGTCAAGAATTGCCCTTACGGCCCGCCCCAGTGTCCCCCTTCTAGGGTAGCCTTTTGCGCGCCCGCGCCCGCGCGGCACCAAGTGCCACGGAAAGCGCGTCTCTGCACCTAAAATGCAGCAGGGCCGACAACTTAAAGCCCAGGGTGCACGTCCATGGTGCAATCACAGCCATTACTTCTGGGCCCTGTGCGTCTGTTTAGGATTTGACAAAATTCTTCAGAAGCCAGAGAGTGTGGTGGGGGCTCTCGGTCGAGGCAAAGTTCTCTGTCCTGGGAGCGCAGGGGAAATCTTGGGGCTCTTTTAAATAAGTTCCCCTCCCCCAGCCAGATTTGCCTCTGTCAATTCATCCCTAAAGATAATGACGAAGTTGGGGGCAGAGTTTTTGAAATAGAGCATCCGAGGACCCCCCGGGCGTACGCAGGACTGGGACAACCTCGCGCACCAGTCAGTATTGGGATACACAAGCGGGGCCAACCCAAAGAAAAAGCACCCTGCGCGCAGGCGCACGCCGTCTCCCGCCCATCAGCCTGTCCGTCACACCCTCTGCCCCGCCCCGTCCCTAGCCCCGCCCCGCCCGCCCGTATCTTCCGCCCAGGCCGGCTTCGCCTTATCGTGCGCTGCGCCCTCCCCACCTGGGGCGTCGCTGTAC